AAAAAAAAATTTCGGACTTTATTTTATCTTCAGTGTGAAAATGGCTACCGAATGCTATTTTTGTGTGAAAATTTTCCATTTTGTATTTTACATTTTTAACTTTATTATGCTATAACTTTTTGAAAAATGTATGGATCAGTACAATTTTTTCATGAGGAGTAGTATTTATATACANTTACAATTTTTTTATTGAGAAGTAGTATTTATATAGATCTTTCATTCAACATACTTTTTTTTTAAATCGGACCATTTCCCTTAATACAGGGGGGATTCCAAACATAAAAATGCATATAGAAAGTAGAACTTTTTCAACTTAACTTTTGAAAGTGTTCCGGAAGGTCTGACACTTTTATATATATCTTAAATTAAAGCTAATGTAATATACTTTAATTTGAAAAAAAAAAATTTGACCTCTGGACTTGTCTTCATGGTGAAAATGGCTACCGAATGCTATTTTTGTGTGAAAATTTTCGATTTTGTATTTTCCATTTTTAACTTTATTATGCTATAACTTTTTGAAAAATGTATGAATCATTACAATTTTTTTATGAGAAGTAGTATTTATATAGATCTTTCATTCGACATACTGTTTTTTTAAATCGGACCATTTCCCTAAATACAGGGGGGATTCAAAACATAAAAATGCATATAGAAAGTAGAACTTATTCAACTGAACTTTTGAAAGTGTTCCGGAAGGTCTGACACTTTTATATATATCTTAAATTAAAGCTATTGTAATATACTTTATAATGGTAAAAAAAAATTTCGGACTTTATTTTATCTTCATGGTGAAAACAGACATTAAACTTAATAAAAAGAATACGATTTTTGTAAAAAAATTCTTTTTTTTATATTTTTAACTTTATAATGCTATAACTTTTTGAAAGATGTATGGATCAATATAATTCTTTTTTATGTAGATGCATGATGTCTTTACCTATCATTTGATATATTTTTTTTTATAAATCTGACTTTTTACCTGCCTACAGGGGGGGATTCAAAATGACAAATTTTTTACAAATAATTGACTTTTTCAATTTAAATTTTGAAAGTGTTCCGGAAAGTCTGACACTTTTCTATATATATTAAATTAAAGCTAATGTAATTTAATTTATTATGTAAAAAAAAAATTTCGGACTTTATTTTGTCTTCACGGTGAAAATGGTTACCAAATCTATTATTGTGTGAAAATTCTCGATTTTATTTTTTTATTTTTAACTTTATAATGCTATAACATTGAAAAGTGTATGGATCAATATAATTTTTTTATGAGAAATAATATTTTTTAATAATTCCTCTTTCATTCGATATACTTTATCTAAATCAGGATATTAATAACGAACTAGCAGATCATGTTGCTTTTGGAATAATCCACCTATTTTTTAAAATTAAACACTATCTAAAGATTTGCATCGAAGCTTTTTTTTTTTTGATAGTGATTTTAATCACTGTCAGATATCATTATACTTGATCCAACTATGCCACGTCACCACTGTGCTGCGACCCCCCTGTGCTGGGTTTTTTCTTTCCATTCTGACCATGTATTTATTTGACGTCCGGATATCTTAAGCCAATTTTGAGCTGGACCTCATAATCTCGAAACAGCATTAACTAGTGTTAGGGAATCTGACCAATGAGCATGTTGTGAAATGCGTTCTACTTCGACAATCCATTCATCAACATTTTCATGTTTTTTTCCATGGTAATTTGATATTGCAGAAGCTATGTCATTGAGGATACAATCTGTATTTGGCTGCTATTATTGAAATTCATATTCTCTGAAATAAGCTTTTGTGTAGCAACAAGTAAACACAAAGAGACCCAGACAAAGATGGACAGATAGAATACAAAAAGACTTGAAGATGTTGGGAGTAAGAAATGCGGATGAAACGGCAAAAGATAGAGGAGAGTGGGGGCAGGTGGTTGTTGCGGCAATGAGCCTGAATTGCCTGTAAAAAGCCAAAAGAAGAAGAAGAGCTTGCTTCAATTATTATACGCTAAGAAATTTATAGTCTATATTTTTATCGTATTCATTTACATAAGTATTCTAACAGATCCTGACTATTTTTAAGTTTAGTTCGGGTCTATTTTTGACAAACCCTCCTATCCACAGCCCGACAGAGATAATTTACTTTCTTTAGTAGTAACTCAATTACAAAGAGTCTCGTATATTTTATTGAATAATAGTTAAAGGAGCAACGACCACTACTCACTTACTCATCTACTTTTATCTTACCTATTATTATTTTACTTTTACTTTTTTTCTTTTTGCTTTTTTGAGTTACTACGTATTCAACTCTGAGATATCGATACTTATCCATTTCACGATTTTATTGCTTTTAAGCATTCCCTACATTCACTATTTTCACAATTATAACTATTTTAACTATTTTTGCTACTTATAAACGCCATTTTCTTAACCGTATTTTCTTTTACTTTTTTCTTTTTGTTTATTACATTATTTTCTGTACTACAGCTCTCGTTTATATTTTTTCATATTAAAATAAAAATTATTGTTATTCTAAAATATGAAATAAAATTTAAGTCTTTTATTCTTAAATAAATGTAAATATTTAAAAACCGTTTGGTGTTTAACTTGATTTTTGAAGTAAAAATTCAAAATTACCTTATAATTTTCTTCAAATTTTAAACTTTCTCTTTTATTTTCTTCTAATCCCATTTTTATATATTCACTACTAAGATCAATTATTGTATCTTCAGCGTAATCCTCATTCACATTTTCAATTTTGATCTTGTCAATTCGTTTTTGAATCTGACACATTGGTTCGTATTAATAATTAATTTCTATTATAATAATTACACGTTTGTTGTATACTTGTTTGTCAGGAATATCCAAAATGACATTTCGAAAATTATTTGTACATATATCTTTTGAAGCATAACCCTGAACTATAAAAGCATTATAACCTAAACCTAATAAAAAAGAAACTAACAAGGTGGCGATTTCAAAGCAATTTCCAGTTTGTACCTCAAGTACTCTACTCGGTGACAATATTTGTTTTGGCTAAAATTATTTAAATAAAACAATAGTTATTAACGAATAGTTTTTTTATAAAATCAACAGTTATAATTTTAAATTAATTTAAATACCACATTAATAGGATCTTCTAGTGGTTTATATTTAATATGGTTGGCTACGAACACACTATAACTTTCCAAATCACTTAAAGCGCTATATGTCAACCTGCATGGTTTTATTGCCGTACAAATACATTTCTAAAAGTTATGTAAATAAATGGTTATATTTAGTTAACATTTTTTAAAGTATTTAATGTATTAACTTGACACCCCATTTCATTTTCATGAATAATAAGTAGTTTTCTTCTTTCTGGATATTTTGCCTCAAAATGCCTAATGAAATTCTTTGCATGTAAAATAATAAGTTTTTCGGCTGATTTATTTTCAGTGTAGGAATTTGAAATGACTTTACTGTAAATTTAATTCAATTTAATTAAGTTAATTACTTTCTAAAGAATATTTTTCTTAGTTTTGTTAAAATTGTTAAACTATTTTTGTAACAAAAATATTACTTACTTATCATGCAGTGCTTTATGAATTAATTCAGACCATAGAAGTTGTACTTCATGTATGTTAAACCTGGCTTTATTAATTTTATCAATGAATTGCTTTTGAAGTAATAAAACATCCAAGTCTTTATTAGAATTATTTAATAGCCATGAAGTCGTTTTATTCCCATTGATTTTATCAATATTATCATCATACTGACATATATATTTCTTGTTTTCTATGATAAATGTGTTGTTAAAACTTGAAAATAAATTGAAATATAAATATTCGTCATTGCTGATATGATTTGGATTAATTTTGTAATTTAATTCTTCATGACTACCAAATTCTTCAGTAAAATCTAACGGGTTAGAAAACTCCTCTTTTTCTAATGTCCTATCAAAATTACTATCCATAATTAAAATTACAAAAAAAAACTTAAACAGTTTGTTTGTTGGTAGGTAAATAAGAGCTAATATATATCTGTTGCTATAGTATTATGATTTTCGAGATATTTAATCAATATAGTTTTAGTTTTATAAGTATTTATTTTATCAATACTCTTTTTAAATACCATAAGATATCCATTGGCAAATTATACTCAATACAAAGGTTAAGTTAATCTACTGACTTCTGAAATTTCTAATTTTTGAAGATTTTGTTGTTTAATTAAATTTGGTATACTCTCCATATAATTAAAATTTGATTAAATTTAGTTTTTAAACTACACAAGGATAAAAAAAATAAATTTTGTAGTTTAAAATATTTAGACGAATCTTACACGAAATATCATTACTTATTCAAAATCTAGTTTTAGATTTGTGTACATCAAATCCAAATTTTTAAATAATTACTAATTAGTATTTGGTTGATAATTACACATTTAAAAATTCATAAAAATTTTGAAACTCTCACACTTTGTTTTAATTGTGTTATAAAATAATTGTGTAAAAATTGATTGTAGAACTCATTTATTTAAAGTTAAGCTGAACTTTCTTTATAACTTTTTTTGGTTTAACTTCCTATTATGAGTTTGTAACCATTATATATACAATTTTATGAACATATAGAAAAATATATTTTTAACTTAATGGATAATTAAAACCGACATAATTGCTTTTAATTAAATATATATATATAAATCTCAACATTTTCTAAAAACTTTTTTTTTTTTTTTTTAAATATATTATAACTATATTTAAATTAAAAATTATAATTTAAAAAACGTGCATGTCATAACATACGTAGAGTACTTAGGTTTGGTCACAGCACAAAGTTATGAGTTAACATATATAAATACACTAATCAGTAAACAGAAATCTTGTAATTTGATAAAGTCATAATTGACAATAAACAAAATATTTATATCAAAAGCGGCTTCGTAAAAATACAAATAAATACTAGGTACTATAATGCCTCATAAGCTATACATGTATTTTATGTCTATTATTCGAATATTATAAGTATTGTCGTATATGGCCAATTGCTTGACATATACGTATAGTACATTATAATTATTAATGAAAATTATCAATAAAAAATCTATAATCTGTACTTTTTATTACTTGTAAACAAACAAATTACTTATCTGACATAACATTTTTTTCATTCTTTCAGATATAAAATTTATAATTTTTAATGAAAACACATATTTTTAGTTTGAAGATAAGTTAAAAAAATGTTTGTATGAAAATCTTTTAATTTTTAGCTACGGTGCGAGGATGAGAAGGTATTTTGAGTCTGTTACTACTTATTCTTTTCTCTTAACGAACCGATTTCTTTCAACAATACGTCAAAAGATTACAAATCGTATCTAGTCGAAGATATTACCCTCAAAAATTGAAAAAATTTCTCTCATTCCTCATAAATGAGTGATATCTCCAACAAAATTACAAATTAAAAAATCGCTAATTTTCGATATTTTTAAAATTTTTTTTACTTAAAACTGCCATAACTTTTTTTAAAATAACTATATCAATATCATTTTTTTTTATAGTTGTTTGATGTCTTTACCTATCATTTGGTATATTTTTTTTATAAATTTAACCCTTTAGCTGCCCATAGAAAGGGATTTAAAATGAATTATTTTTCAGAAAAAATTTACTTTTTCAACTTAACTTTTGAAAGTGTTCCGAAAAGTTTGACACTTTTATTTATATCTAAAATTAAAGCTAATGTAATGTACTTTATTATGAAAAAAGAAAATTTGACCTCTGGACTTGTCTTCGTGGTGAAAATGGCTACCAAATGCTATTTTTGTGTGAAAATTTTCGATTTTATTTTTTACATTTTTAACTTTATAATGCTATAACTTATTGAAAAGTGTATGGATCAACACAATTTTTTATGAGAAATAATATTTTTTAATAATCCCTTTTTCATTCGACATACTTTATCTTAATCAGGATATTAATAAGGAACTAGCAGATCATGTAGCTTTTGGAATAATCCACCTATTTTTTAAAATTAATAACTATCTAAAGATTTGCTTTGAATCGTTTTTTATTATAGTAATTTTAATCACTGTCAGATATCATTATACTTGATCCAACTATGCCACGTCACCATTGTACTACGACCTTCCTGTGGTGGGTTTTTTTTTTTTTTTTGTTACTTCATAGTATGTGTAATTTTGTTCAATAATAAGTTGATCGATTCTACAATAAAGTGGTTTATTAATATTAAATTGTATAACAAATACACACATAAACAATAAACAATAAAGAATCGATAATTTAAAACTTATTACTGTATACTCTTTAAATTATATAAAATATAAAATAATTATTAATTATTAAAAATGTTACCATAGATTTTACACATTAAATCTATATGATTATACAAATTACAACAGTGATAACAGTGTCCCTATAAACAGTGCTGCCACTGTTATATCTCCCCTCCTCCAGACATAAACTCCAGTTTATGTACTCAAATTTTGTGCTGGAATTAATTTATTCCTATGGAAAATTTTTTTTTTTCTTTTTTCTTCTATCTCATATATTGAATTTGATATTTGTTTTATTATTCGGAAAGGACCTCTTCTAACTTCATCCAACTTGTTCCTATTCATTTTGTTGCCATTTTCTATGTATACTAACTCATTTTCTTTAAATGTATGTTCTTTTCCTGTTTTGTCTACTCTTTTTTTATTTTTTTCATAATTTTTATTAGAATTTATTATAGCTTGTTCTCTATCTTTTTCTAAATTAAAAGTTTTTTCTTGAAGTTCATTTGGTACTATATAAGACTTTACACCAAATAATAGATAAGACGGTGAAAATTTTGTTACACTATGTGTTGTATTGTTGTATTCCTCTACACATTCCTCCGCTATCTTAGACCATGCTTTTTTATCTCCACTATTAATTTTACATCGTATTCTGTTTACCAATGTTTGGTTTAGTCTTTCATTTAATCCATTTGATTCTGGGCAATCAACTGATGTAAATATTAATATTATATTCTTTGATTTCATATAATCTTTGACTTATTTGGATTTAATCCCTGTATATTGATCCGCCAAAACCATTTTTATTTGGTGCTGTCTTGCCACCAAATCGACTAATTTGATAAAATCTTTAGCACTTTGCCCTTTTGAAGTTAAAATAAATGCATATCTCGAGAAATGATCTACTAAAATATGTAAATACTTTTTTGGTGACCTATTACCTCCAAAACCTCCCACTGTGTCAATGGACATAATTTCATAAGGTTTTGTCGCTGGTCCTAATTTTGAAAGCAAACCAATTTTTTTGCTACTTCTTGATTTATTTTTTTTANTTTGCTATTTCTTGATTTATTTTTTTGACATATTTCACATGCACTACAAAATTGGTGAATAATTTTATCCATATTTTTGAAATAATAATAAGGTCTTAATTTTTCACTTAAATGATAAGTACCAATGTGACCATAATATTCATGTATTTTCTTAATTAATAATAAACCAAATTCCTGAGAAATGTAAATTCTTTGTCTATTTTTAAGGTATTTAAATTTGATATTTCCTTTTTCAAATACTCTTTTGGAATCCTTAATCTCAATTGCATTTTTTTGTTGGTCACTAATTATTTCTTCTAATGTAACCATATTTACAACTTTTAATATATCTTCTTCATTTTCAAAGTTTTCTAAAACTGGATTTCTTGATAAGGAATCAGCTTCAATATTCTCCTTACCAGGTGCATATATAATCCTAAAACTATATTGTGAAAGGTAATATATAAGCTTTCCAAGTGGTTCATCTGTCCTTGCTTTTACCTTTAACGTTTCTAATGGTTTATGGTCTGTAATTATAGTAAAAACTCTTCCAANTATCTGTCCTTGCTTTTAGCTTTAACGTTTCTAATGGTTTATGGTCTGTAATTACAGTAAAAACTCTTCCAATTAACCAATGTTGCCAGTATACAATCGCTTCTTTTATCGCTAGACATTCTAAATAAATAATTTTTTTCTTTTTTTGACTGGGGTTTAATTTTTTTGAGAAATAGGCAACCGGATGGAGAATACCATTTTCCTGAGGTTGTTTTAATACTGCTCCTATACCTTCTCCACTTGCATCAGTATAAATAAAAACCTCTTTATTTTGGCTATATATAGATAGAATTGGGCTTGAACATAGGTATTTCTTCATATTATTAAATGCTTGCTGACACTCTATTGTCCAACTAAATTTTACATCTTTCCTTAGTAAATTATGTAACGGTTCCAGTTGTATTGCTGCATTTTGAATATATTTATAGTAAAAATTGATTTTCCCTAGGAATTGTCTAATATTCTTTTTATTTGTTGGTTCCTTAAATTCTTTAATTGCTTTAAGGTTATCTTTCAAAGGTGTAATTGAATTTTACTCAATTTTATGTCCCAAATATTTTAAGGAATTTTTTGCAAAATCTAATTTAAATCGAAAACCTTCTTCATTAATTGCTTGTAATAAAGCTTCTATATGTTTCACATGTTGTTCAAATGTTTTTGAGAAAACTAAAATATCATCTATATAATTTATACAAAAATCATTTACATTATATCTCCTTAATATATTTGCTAAGGTTCTTTGAAATATTGCAGGGGATATTTTTAAACCAAAAGGTAAGCATGTCCATTGCCAGTGTCCGTCTTGAGTCACAAACGCTGTTTTCTTTCTATCTTTATGCCTAATTGGAATAGACCAAAATGCTGAATTTATATCAAAAGCTGAAAACCAGGTACATTCTCTTGCTTTCACCATTATGTCTTCAATTCGAGGAAATGGCTGTGGCTCAGAAACAACTAATTTATTTAATTCTCTAAAATCAATACATAAACGAGATCTACAACCATCTTCTTTTTTGTACACTAGTGTAACTGGGGCTGCAAAAGGCGAATTAGTTTCTTCAATAAGACCCGCTTTTAATAAATTTGTAATTTGCGATTCTATTTCTTTTTGATCAGGTATTGAACATCTGTATGGTTTTTTTGAAATATATTTATCTTCTGTTAATTTAATTTGTGCTTCTTCACATTTAACTCTACCTACATCATATTTATTCTTAGCAAAAATTACTTTATATTTATTAATAAGGTTCATTATTATTATTTTATCTTTCTCATTTAAATGTTGTAAATTAGTTTCAAAAATACTAACATCAATATATTCATTCAAATTTAATTGTAGATCATTCTATTGTTTTTCTTGACAATTTACTAATTCACTTTCTTTTTTATTTATTTTTTGAAAAATATTTAAATTTTCATTCTGTGACAATTTAAATATTTTAATAGCATCTAGACCAAGTAATAAATCATATGAAAAATTATTGTTTTTTATAACATATACATCTAAAACTCTTTCAATTTTATTAATTTTTAAATGTAAACGTTTAATGTCACTGTTATATATGTATTCAAATTAGATAATCGGTGGGTAAAAATATTATATGAATATCTCTAAATCTTTGTTTATTACTGCAAAAACATCATCGATATACCTAACCCAAATTTTTAGAAAAACACCATAGGTTTGTTTTAAATTTTTTTCGAACCTACTCGTGAAAATGGTGATAGCGGATTTCTTATTGTCGTGCCCTTAGTTTACTCATGAAATTTATTTTTAAACTGAAAAAATGTTGACCCATAACTTTGTTAAATTGATAAGCTAATTTATTTTATACTGTTCTATGTTTTGTCCTTTAACCAATCTCTTAGAAAACTAAATGTTATATTTATCAGAAATATCTACTATATCAAAAGAAATTAACCTGTCATTATTACATTATAGTGTGTTGATGTTACGTTACCATTAATGTAAAAAATTATTACAATAAAACATTTACAGCGCATCCGCTATTAGAGACTGATGAATTGACAATTCATAATTATTGAAAAATTAGTAATCGTCCAAATTGCTATTTATACCCAAAGGACCTGGCCATCGTGGTCAGTCGAACCCAGTGCTTTGTGTTATCCATCAGTCTTAGTACTCGGTTATCGCCGTCCAGCTTACTGTATTAAGACAAATCTTTGTTCTTTTTTACTCATCTAATTTCGTCTTCTACATCTCAGACTACTGGTGTCTCGCACTTCATCTGCATCTCATACTCTGTTGTCTTCCTTACTTGTTACGCCTAGTACTTGCTTTTTGCGCCTCATACTTAGGTATTACCCTTATTCTATTCCTATAACACCGGTCATTCGACACCCACATCCGATCCAGAGTGTCAGTCGAGTACGGTGACTGCTGTACGTGAACACTCAGACAACAGATTAATCATCATCGTACCCACACTGCTCTTACTCAATGTAAGTTGTTTTGTGTTACGACATTTATAACATTTATTATTTTTAAGTGAAAAGTTACCGAAATTTTGAATAGATGAAAATACCCTTACTAAGTGTTTAGCCAAATTTATATCTGATACATACAATACATGTAATATTCGACAATATAGATCTCAAATTATTTCTTGGCTTATGTATTTTTGGCAAAGCATATAGTTTAGATATTTTTGGGTTTGAAATTTTAATAAAAAATCTGAACTTTTTCAATTATTAATTTTGAACTATTGATAACGTTTATAGCCTCCCTTATCATTTTATTTAATGGATCCTTTTTAATTTCTTTATTAACGCTCTTGAATCATATTTGATACTTTATCAAAATAATCTTTTTTCTTCGGTGGGACGAAGAGTACAGACGGGTGATAAAAATAACAGCATCCACTGCTCACCTCCAGTGACTATTATAAATTGTTAATAAATTTTGAAATACTAGACCGAAAATATTATCGACTAGTAATTTTCTTAACTAGATAATTATCTATTTTATAAGTTATCTATTTGATAAGATGTGATTCTAAAAAGTAATTATTTGCTGATAAATTAAGAACTATATGCAACTTAAACAATTAAAAATTTGTTTCTACAGTATTATATTTATTTGCAAGTAATCGAGTGGTTTATAATAAACCGATCACTCTGTATACTAACGAGTTTAACAATGACCGTGCCAATGCTAAAAGCGGCCAACACTATACACTGTAAAACACTGGATTACCACAGTCTTGTTGATTATATTTTGAATATAGACTAACATATTCTTATGATTTTATTTTTACAAGTTCTGAGTGAGTTTTAAGAATATCGATCATAGGGAATTTTCCTAAAATATTATTAGTAAGAAATTTGTATATCGTGAAAACAATTTGAAAATTATAATAAATAATAAATCATAATAAACGCAGGTCCCATCATTAAGAATATTTTTAAGTGTGTATTTTATGAATGACGTATATTATCAAAGTATTAAAAGCGCTTATTGATGATTAGGATCTAATATACACATAAATCTAATTAATCAAAATAAACACAAAATCCTACAAACGATTGTTAACATGGAACCGAGAAGTTGCTGTAAGATTATTCCTGAGAAATATAAAAGGAAATTAAGGTAAGTGCGAATATTTATTTGCATATTTTACTCCTTTAAAATTTACGTAATATAAAAGAATAAATAGATTTAAGATAGTAATAAACAATTTGAGTCCTTCAAATTGTTATTATTTTATTTTCGTTTATTACACTAATTATATTTTATTCCGTCTCCCATTTCTAATATTCACTATAATTAATGGCCAGTTTTCTTTCACTAATATCATATGTAATAGTTTTTATCTATATTATTAATAAGATTTAAATTTTGATTATGATTATATTTGTACATCTCTTAATTAAAATATGTTTTAAATTCATTATTTTTTGTACTAACAAAGTTTATTTTTGCTTTAATATGTTCATATTTTAAAGATCATATGGTAATTTGTAATTTAAGAAGATTAATTAGGTGCCAATAACATACTCTATTTTTTTTTGGACCATAGTTCATAATGTTAATAAAAATAAAATAAAATAAAAAATAAGAATAGGTTTAACACATTAACTACAATAATCAAGTAATAAATAAAATACAAGGTACATGTATTTTTTATGTCATTACGAACAATGCTATTATTTCCTTTATTGTAATTTATAATAGCACAATTAAAACTATTTTCAGTTATTACATTATGTACTGAATATTGATTTGAAATTAATACGAAAGAAGTTCTAATTGTGTGCTCAAAAACAAATTATACAAAACCAACTTTTAATCCATAAAATATATTTACAGTAATTAAAACACGTGTGTATAATTAATATATCACTATGTAGGGTTACTGAGTTTAAAAAATGTAACAAAAATGACTTTTTTAACAAATATAGGTTCATTCTCAATTATAGTAATTATTTATTTATTTATAAATTTTAAGATAGGAATGAAATAATTTGCCTACATCTTGGAGATTCTAGGATTTCATAATAAATCTGTCTTTGTTGTAAAAGTTATATATCCTAAGTGTATGTATAATCTATATTAATAATATTATTTAATTTAACAGGTATGTCAAAGAAAACTTTACAAAAATTAAACAATAATTTTTAATACAATGTCCAAATAGCGTTTAATTTTTTTGATAACGTAATACAAATCAAAATAAACTTGTGATGTAAACATACAAAACAGTATCTAAATAGAAATACGAGCCTGGAAAAAAATGATCAATATAATTTAAACACTCTTGCGGGTAGAATTTTGGTTCGATTTATGAATTTCAGATTTTTTACCTTTCTCGTAGCATGCAGATTACAATAATATTTAAGCATAACGGAAAAATCGTTTTCTTAAAGTGAAATGGCGCATGAAATTCGACAGGGTGATCTGGAGTGCCGAGTTTCAAACAAAAATCTCATAACTAGGTCAAAAATTTCAATAAAATTTTCAGGGTACATCTGAAATATATCTGTGCAATCCTACTAAAAAATAAAGGTTATATTTCGAAAAATGCTGATGGCAATTGGGTTTTTTTGCCAATTTTTTAAATGATTTTTTATTAAATAATGAAAGTGAAAATCACGAAACAGCCCACTTAGTTATACAGAATGATTGATTGAAGATAAAAAACTCATTTTCTTAGAAACTACTGAACATTTTTTATTTTCGTAAAGTAAAAAATTGTTTTTTTAATAAAGACAAATATTTGTATAATATAAAAACACGAAATATTCAGTGAATTGAAAGGAATTAAAGATGTCAGAATCTGGTAAGCATCTTGTATACTTTAATTAATTCTATGATTTATAGATATCAGTAAATCTATAATCTGGGTTGGGTTGGGTTGGGTTTTATTTGTGCTTATTGTAAACTCTTCTATTGCAACGATGCATCCAAAATTTGTGCTAATTCTAAATGTATTATTATTAAAATGTATGTAATGTAACTTGTAATTTATTTATAAAGCACGAAAATCATTTTGGTTTGAATAAACAGAAGAATATTTATTAGTCAAAAACGCTGTTGATACTTAACGCGATTATGATTTTAAACGTTTGAACGGCTAAATTGTTTGCTCAAATTTATGTAATAAATAAAACCCAAATATTAATGATTATATTTTTGTTTTATCGTAGATATCGTCCATACAATTTGTCAAGAATTTTTACTCAGTATTCTTAGGTATAATTGACTAAATTATCGTAAACTGGAACAAGTAAAATTAACTCGATTTTTTTTTCAAAATTATTACATCATTCTGTTGATAAATGGTATTTGTTATGTCAATAAAAAAAAAATTAAATAATTACAAATTTTATTTTAACTATGACGTGAAAAACTTCATGGAAAAAAAGTATGGTTGAAATAACCTTTTATATGCTTATCCCCACTCGAAACTTAGGATTAGTATTGTGTAATCTAATCAGTTTGGTTAAAACTGAAGTATCACATTTAAATACATGTAATAAATAATACATATATTTAATAAAAATATATCATCAAATCAGTGTTCTTCCGTGGATAAGATGAATAAAAAATTATATCCTTACACAAGATTCAACCATCTTCTTACGCATTCCATAAAACGCCCACGTAAAAGATTCTATCACATTGACCAATCAAATACAACAAAAAATATTTCAATAATCTCACCAGAGATCGCTAAACCAGTTTCTCGAGCTATAAATAAGCCATTTTCCCAAAAAAAGGGACAACACTCCTCTCTCTCTCTGCTACAACTACGAAAATACATTTCTGTGGAGTTCTCGATTAATGTATGGAATCTGCTCGAGTATATAATTCGCTCTTGATTACATTTCTATATCAAATCTAAGCCGTTTTATATAACATTTCTAATCGCTAGGACTTAGAAAAAATATAATGCATCTTATTTTCGGTCGAACACTTTTGGCGATACAAATATTTCAACACAAAAAATATTGGTATTTATTTATTTTTATATATATATACACTTAAAAAAATACATCATTAGTTTGCATTGTGTTCTATTACTTATTGAAGTGCCACAACCTGGCTGAACAGAGTACTAGCACAATAATATAGTAGTCAACCAAACCCAACCCAACCAATTATAAGCGTTCGCTAAAGTGTCTCTCCACTTGTCGACCAGCCTGTCTAATCTCTGCCACAGTACGGGTAATCGAAGTGTTCGACACTTAAATAACTTATTACGCATTGCTTATCTATATTTTTCATTATACACCTAATACATGATTAGATTTAGTTGTATCTATTACTTATTGAAGGGCCATAACCTGGCTGGACAGAGTACTAGTTTAATAATGTCATAATTAAAATTTTAATTAACTAAAAGATTTCTTCAAAGTGTCTCTCCACTTGTCGATCAGCCAGTCTGATTTCAGCCACAGTGGTGGCCATCGAAATGTAGGATACTAACATAACTTATTGTGCATAAATCTATAGTAGAGTTTAACCTCGGTCATCCTTCAGGTGATTTAAAAAAAGTAGGCCAAATATCATAAGGGTCTTTGCATAAAGAACAAGGTATTAATTGATATTTCATATTGGCACAACCACCTACGAAATAAGAATAAATCGAAGTTGAAATATTATACTGATTATCTAAACAATTAGGAAGTGTCGGAGTGTAGGACACTAGTATAAACTATTGTGCAATAAACCGGATTAGCTCGCATCTACTCTAGATCACTCTACGGACAACTGAAAAGACGTAGGCAACTTGAAAATAGTTTATTGCACAGGACAGTTATGTTATTTAGAATTTCTTTATTGGTTTTACAAATATTAAATCATAAATATTTTAGTATAAAATACCAGACACAAGATCAAGAAGTATACCACATAATTATATAAAAAGGTTTTACATAAAATACCATAAGTATAATAAATTTAATTTTCACCTTGAGTAGAATTAATATAGAGTTGTATCAGAGAAATATAACATAGATCGTGCAACTTCAAGTGCATCTATTAACGCACATTCATCATACCACTAATAGTGACATCAACTACATAATTCATCAATGCAGAATATTTGTCTTATCAGGATAATTAGAGGTCAGTGAAAATATTTATTTATATAACAAATCTATAATAAACTTTTCAATAAAGGATTTTTAGTAATAAACATTTAAGTGAGATAGGTCGCCAGAAGTAAACTGACTGAAATAACAGTGTAAAAGAATACAATACTCACGACTCATATAAATTCGTGTATACATTTTTGTGAGGGAGCTAAATTAGCACCCGAACACATTTCACACAAAGAAAATTTCAATACAAAAATTTATATTTTTGAATATGGAAATTATTTTTATCTTGACAACAATCTAAAGTTAGAAAAAATATTTTTTTTTATTTAAAAGTATATTATATAAGCATTAATTTAGCACTTTATTATAAAAGTGTCAGTTTTTCCGAAACATTTTCAAAAGTTAAGTTGAAAAAGTTCTACCTTAAACACGCATGTTTAAAGCTTAGTAAAATAAAAAAATAATTATAGGAAATTTAATACCTTCTCAGTTTCACATCAAAACTATAATCAATCAACATTTTTATGCAAGAAAATAATATTAAATCATTATCAATTATATTGACTATGCAACGTGTAGTGGAATTTGTATATGCAGTGCATTTAGTAGATGGAAAAATTAGATTACTACAATATTTTTAAATAATTAAGAATCTTTAAGATGAGCAAACATTTGATTAATGCTATTATATTACAAGGAACTCTTAGTGTAATAAATCTCGAGAGAAGAATAGAATTAATTATCAATTATTTAAATTCCAAGATCATTTAGTTAATTTATTACATTTTCCTATTTATTACTTTTATATTTTAACTAAGAAAATCTAATCATGCAATCAAACGATACCTTTTTATAAATAGAATAATCATAATTACTAGATTCCAGAATATGGTTAAAAATTGAATAGAAATGAAAAATGTAATGTTGATAAATTTAATTATAGCTATACATTCCCATTAGTCCCAAATATTGCAAGAATGCAATATTAATAAAAAATTTTTTTTTAAATATATTATTAAAAGAAAATACTTTTTAATCGTTAGAATATATTTTCAAACTACTTTGAATAATTTCACAAAATAAAATATATACATGGATAATGCTAAGGTTGCGTATATGGAACATTCTATTAAAAAAAAAACTAAAAACGTTTTTTTAGTATGTTAGTATTAAAATGTAGTTATAACAAAAAGTTTTTTCTAACGCTAGGAACTAATCAATATCATCTCAGAATCGCATTACATTTCAAGGTAATTTATTTTTAAAAGAATCTAAATAATCAACAAAAATAAATTTAATTAAAATATTGGCATTTAAACAATTAACTAATTAGGACATCCATTTTCGGTAGCATAATTGATTATATTAGTATAACCATTTTGAGTAGCTTCAAAAATAGTGTCTTTACTCCACGGACAATTATTTTCATGAGCATATTTTAAGCTACGAAATTGACCATTTGCAGCAGCAAGTCTTGTTGTATTTTCATCCCACTCACACCCATTTTCGTGAATATATTTTAGGCATTCTAAATGACCATTTGCAGCAGCGCCACTCTTTGTTCCATTATCCCATTTACATCCATTTTTATGTGCAAATATCAAACAACTAATATAACCACCGGCGGCAGCTTCCCTTGTTGTTCCTTCGTCCCACTCAAAACCATTATCATGGGCATACTTTAAGCAGTTTAATTGTCCATTCGCTGCCGCTCCTCGCGTCGTACCTTCAACCCAACCACAACCATGTTCGCTGGCATATTTTAGGCAATCTAAATTACCATACACAGCGGCTACAATTATTGTATCTTTATCCCAAATATATCCATTTTCATGAGCATATACCAAGCACTCTAAACATCCACTTGCTGCAGCAGCTCTAGTTGTACTCTCATCCCAAGGACATCCATTTTCGTCGGCGTACTTTAAGCAATCGAAACAACCATTTGCTGCAGCAGCTCGAGTTGTGCCTTTATCCCAATTGCAACCATTTTTATGAATATATTTTAAACACTCTAAATTTCCACTAGAAGCAGCTGCTTCTGATATGCTTTTATCCAAATCAAATCCTTTATCATGAGCATACACTAAGCAGTCTAAACAGCCACTTCTTGCAGCAGCTATAGTTGTACTCTCATCCCAAGGACATCCGTTTTCGTGGGCGTACTTTAAGCAATCGAAATAACCATTTGCTGCAGCAGCTCGAGTTGTGCCTACATCCCACTTACATCCATTTTCATGTGCATATTTTAAACATTCTAAATTCCCAACAGAAGCAGCTGCTTCTGTTGTAATTTCATTCCACGGACATTTATTTTCATGTGCATATTTTAAAATTTTTAAATTACCTCTTGTAGCAGCAGCAATAGTTGTGCCTTCATTCCATTTACAATTATTTTCATGAGCATATTTTAAACATTTAAAATTACCATTATAAGCAGCAAGTTTTGTTGTGTTTTCATCCCACTCGCATTCATTTTCATGTAAATATTTTAAAATTTCTAAATGACCTCTTATGGCAGCCATATAGGATGCACTTTCATCCCATGGACACTCATTTTCATGTAAATATTTGAATATTTTAAAATTACCTTTTGAAGCAGCAGCAGTAGTTGTACCTTCATCCCATTTGCAGCCATTTTCATGAGCATATTTTAAGCATTTAAAATGACCATTATATGCAGCAGTTTCTGTTGTGCTTACATCCCATGGACATCCATTTTTATGTGCATATTTTAAAATTTTTAAATTACCCTTTGAGGCAGCAGCAGTAGTTGTGCGTTCATCCCATGGACATCCATTTTCATGAGCATATTTTAAGAATTTAAAATGACCATTATAAGCAGCTTCTTCTGTTATGCTTTCATTCCACGGACACTCATTTTCATGTGCATATTTTAAAATCTGTAAGTGACCTTTTGAAGCAGCAGCACGAATTGTACCTTCATCCCACGGACATTTATTGTCATGACAATATTTTAAAATTTCTAGATTACCTGTTATAGCAGCTAAATTAACTGTGAGTTCATCCAATTCGTATCCATTTTCGTGAGCATATATTAATATTTCTAGATTATTATTTAATATTGACCATCTAACGATAGATAATTGATTCCATTTACATCCATTTTCATAAGCATATTTTAAGCATTCTAAATTACCATATTTTGCAGCTGCCTCTGTTGTGCTTTCATTCCAAGGACATCCATTTTCGTGAGCGTATTTTAAACAATCCAAATATCCGTTAGCAGCAGCAACTCTTGTTGTATTTTCATTCCATCCACATCCATTTTTATGAGCATATTGTAAAATTTGTAAATTTCCTCTTGTGGCAGCTGCAATAGTTGTGCTTTCATTCCAAGGACACTCATTTTCGTGAGCGTATTTTAAACATTCAAAATGACCATTATCTGCTGCAGCTCTTGTTGTATTTTCGTTCCATTCGCATCCATTTGTATGAGCATATTGTAAAATTTTTAAGCTACCTCTTGTGGCAGCTGCAGTAGTTGTGGTTACATCCCATTTACAACCATTTTCATGAGCATATTTTAAACATTTAAAATTACCATTATAAGCAGCTGCTTCTGATGTCCTTTCATCCCATATACATCCATTTTGATGTGCTAATTTTAAACATTCCAAATACCCATTTCCAGCAGCTACGATAGTAATATCTTCATCCCATTTAAATTTATTTTCAAAAGCATATGTTAAGAATTCCAAGTCTCCATTTTCAACAGCTGTTCTTATCGTACCTTGTTCAAATTGGCATTTTTTTTCGTTATCCGATTGTTTATTTCGAATCGCTACATTATGATAATTATAAATTATTAAATAAGCGAGAGACAAACCAATTACAATTTTAATACTTTGAATTTCTTAAAAATTAAAATTGTGGCTTAAGATAAAGTTAAAATAACATTATGTACTCCTTTTCGACTAATTATAAATAGTCTGTATGGATATATTACTCTCGGTATAAATCTACTTTACGGGACACCCTTTTTTTTCAAAACGTTCGTTTTTTTATGCAAATTAAGAATATGTAGAATTTTTTGAGCGGAAGTATGTGATTCAAAAGTTACAGTGCTTTAAATATGCGATTGTAATTAAATAATATAGGTTATAAAAATCAATAATTTTTCTTTAAAGTTATTTCGTTTTTTTAGTTTTAAATTTTATACCAACTTGAGATGTATTTTTATAAATATAATATTAGTGAAACATTGAAAAAACGTTAAATAGATGGTAAGTTTCAAGCAAAAGGTTGTCAACGGGTGGTCGTTTCATAAAACTAGCAAGCGTCACAATCTGTCATTTTTATAACAATACATAGTGTGTATGTATATACAATATTTTATAAATATATGAGTATAGTGCGAATTACTATACTCCTTAGGGATTGAGGTATGGTGATTCAATTGTATATGACTTGTGACGACCGGTTTTTCTTAGTGGCCATGTAGTGTATTTACGGCCGCCGGGACCGATCTCATTTTGAACAGTTTATAGTAATGCATCACAGACGCTGTTGTCAAGTTTAATACGTTTCGTGCGCGTTTGTTTAAAAAATGTAGGACTTATACATAAGACTATATTATAATTATTAAAAGTTTAAAAAAAAAAACCCAGCACAGTGTGATCGCGGCATAGTGGAGACGTTGCATAGTTGGGTCCAGTATAGATTTAATCTGACAATGATTAAAATCACTATCATAAGAAACGCTTCGATGCAAATCTGTAGATAGTGTTTAATTTTAAAAAAATTTATGGATAATTACAAAAGCAACATCAACTTCTATGTACTTAATTATACCCAGATTAGTAATTCTTTTAATTATATATAATATAATTTTTAAAATTAATTGTTTTCAAATTATTATTGATTTTGATTTTTAATATGTTAAAAGTAATCATTTTGTACCTACTTTTTATTGTCCTTTAAAGTGAAAGTTTTAATAAAAAATAAATTAATTTATTACCATAACATTTAGCTCAACTTGCAAGTTTGAAATTGACATTATTAAATAGAAAAAACCCAGCACAGGGGGGTCGCGGCACAGTGGTGACGTGACATATTTGGATCAAGTGTAATGATATCTGACAGTGATAAAATCACTATCATAAAAAACGCTTCGATGGAAATCTTTAGATAGTGTTTAATTTTAAAAAATAGGTGGATTATTCCAAAAGCAACATGATCTGCTAGTTCGTTATTAATATCCTGATTTAGATAAAGTATATCGAATGAAAGAGGGATTATTAAAAAATATTATTTCTCATAAAAAAATTATATTGATCCATACACTTTTCAATAAGTTATAGCATTATAAAGTTAAAAATAAAAAAATAAAATCGAGAATTTTCACACAATAATAGCATTTGGAAGCCAATTTCACCCTGAAGACAAAGTAAAGTACGAAATTTTCTTTTTGCCATAATAAAGTATATTACATTAGCTTTAATTTAAGATATATATAAAAGTGTCAGACCTTCCGGAACACTTTCAAAAGTTAAGTTGAAAAATTAATTTTTTGTAAAAAAGTTGTCATTTTAAATCTCCCCCCGTAGGCAGGTAAAAAGTCAGATTTATAAAAAAAATATACCAAATGATAGGTAATGACATCATGCATCTATAAAAAAAAGAATTATATTGATGTGTTTATTTTTAAAAAAGTTACGGCAGTTTTTAGTAAAAAAAATTGAAAAAATTTTGAAAAGTAGCCATTTTTAAATTTGTAATTTTTTCGGAGGTTTCCCCCATTTACGGGGAACAAGGGAAACTTTTTTCAATTTTTGAGGGTAATGTCTTCGACTAGATATGATTTGTGATCTTTTGACGTATCATTGAAAGAAATCGGTTCGGTGTGAGCTGAGAAAAAGTGGTAACAGACACAAAAAAAAAA